GTGAGTCCTGGGAGGCGCCTTGGGACACCAGCAGGAGCAGAAGTCCGGTCTTCCAAGCGAAAGTATGGCACAGGGACTCCATGTCGGACCCTCCAAGTCACGCTTCGCTTCTGGAGAGTCCGATGAAGGACGTCTTTCGGAGTCATAGGGTGGCGAAGGCTGACGATGCCCGCGGCTGGCGCATTGCGATGATGTCTGCACTTTTACAGTGATTCCTCGAATATGAGGGGGTAACTGAGTTAAACTGAATGACAAAAGCAGTTCGTGACAGCAATTGGATTCTGATTTGACACCATCGGCTGTAGGAAGAGGGAATACTGTGTACTCGTACTTTGATTAATATAAAGTGATGACGCATTTCATCGCATGTCCCTTTGTTCACATGAATCATTGTTAGCGATAACAGCGATAAGAGATCAAGTTAATACAAAAGCGTCTCCATGACAGCTATCTCTTCCAATCCCGTTACATGTATTTCGCTACATCCATATCTATAGCTACTGTACATTTAAAGGTTTAAAATGTACTAAATGAATTCGAGTTAAAGTTGCAACGAATGATCCTCAAAAGTCACAGATTCTTATTTGCAAAGACTCGATTTCTTGTTTCTCTGGCTTGTAACGCACTCTGAACGCCGCATGATTTAAGCTGCAGCGCCAAGTAACCGTTACCAAAGTCTTATATTTCTAGAGATACTTCAAATGTGACGGAAGAGAGAGAAAAAAAAGTCAAATGCACTTTCCACTTAGTCACTTAGGAAAATTACTCCACATACTCTACACGTTTCTGAGAAATGATAGGCCTACATCAGAACACCTTTCTACTATACATTACCTGCCATTTTTTTTTTTTTTTCAGGCACGTGTCGCTTGATCACATCTCCGTCTCTTGAGAATTATCTTCGAACATCTTGTCATATGTTTATTTTTTTCCTTTTCTTTTTATCATGGCTAGACTCATTACCGCTAGAACCGTAGGCTAGTTAGTTAATATATAATTCCATTACATGTTACCTGCATATTTGTTTTATAATAGCACACTAAGAAACTACTTACCTTATAATTTCATGAGCTCATAACGTGCAGTCTCAATTAAACTTCGCCTAAATGAACATAGTAAATAGGGCACACACGTACTTACAAAATATGTTGACACTTTTCTGTAACATTAAAAATGGCGAACTGACTGCAGACTGTAACTACATCCGTCATGACAGCCTGTTGATAAGAGCTGATAAGAGCTTCAGCCTAAAAATATCAAAATAACTAAACCCGCAGCATACGGATAATGCGGTTATGAAGAACGATTACGAAATGCAATCATAAACTTTCAAGGAAACGAAGTCGATGGAAAAGGAAAAGCATTTTGTATTTCGTAGGGGGGGAAATAATAATGCACTAAATCAGTTGAAAAATACAAGCAAAATACTACGCTCAATATCGGGGAAATGAAAAAAAAAATCTGAGAGACCGAGATAGAGGATTAAACAGAGATATTGAAGTCAAGGAGGATATACTGAAGCGAAGGCAGGATAAAGGAGGGAAGGATGTTGTATCCAGATGAGGAACTCTTGGCGGAGGTATGCTGTATTCTGAACGTTCGGAGACGATGCTATAAATGCTAATAAGGATAACGGTAATGGTGATGTTTATTATGGCAGATATGATAAGGATAGTGAGGATAATAATGACAATAATAAAACAAACAGTAATAGCTGTAGTGATGATGCTAATTATTTTGATCATGATAAAAGTACAAGAATGTTGATAATGTTAATAAGAATGGTATTAAAAGCAACTCGTTTCCGCCCAACAGTGATTATCCTTTTCTCTCTATTAGGTAAGGCCTCCCCACAAAAGATAAATGATAATGATAAATACGTAAATAAAAGAAAGAGAAAACATTCCCATTTCTTTCGACCTGTCATTTTCACTTCCGGGTTACCTGTAGGACACTCAAGTTCCGGGCCGGGTGCCACCAGCCCACTCCGTCTTCATGGCACTAATTTCCCTGTATACCAGTTTCCTAAATCACTTTTAAAATTAGATGGTTAAAAATGAAATAAAAAGATATATATATGTAAATGAGTTCACGACTCTTAAGTACATTGAGGAAAAAGCTGGTATGAAAAGCAACAGTGAGGATTAAGGATTGGAGGTTGTTTGTTGGGTGGAGTAAGCGGGGCGGGGGGAGGAGGGGGGGGGGAGCTGCCGATTATGTTGAAATAATACGCTTGATGTGTTGAATTTGTGAGGATTTTAGACTTCCCTTTGTTAAAATCCGTAGCAAAACTGATGCCGTGTCACAACAAACAGCTTGTTTGTTCACCTTTTTTTTGTAGTTTTTACAGTGACACTTTGCTATGTTGTAATTCGTAGGAAAGAAAGGATTTTTTTAAACCTCAAAATGTAAGGTTTATGGTATAAAATATGAACCTTGAATTTACTAGCGCCTAAGTCTGTTCATGGTATCTGTTCTTTCGATCTTTGCACGCTGAACA